TGTGAGAAACACCCTGGGCGGACAAGAGAACAATGAACCCAAGATCCAGTCCCACCTGCCCACCTCCAGCCACCCCCTACCCCACCCCCACCAAGATGCAGCAGACCGGGTATCCCCCAGGGTCAGTTGCCCCCCAGCAGTGTAGCCAGCCAGCACTCCTAGTCCATGGAGCAACGTCACAGGGTGCAGCAAATGGCAGATGGGGCCACTTAGATGGCCCCCTCCGCCACACCCTGCATGACGTGCTCGCTCCCCAAAGCCCTGCGGTTGTGTGTGTGCATGAAAGAGCGGAGGAGGCGAGGGATCTGGGGTTGTAGGACTGGAGGGAAGCGAACCTCCCTCCAGAGGTAGTTTCTTGAAAATCTACAAAAATGGAGTTATCTGTTTTTGCAAATGAACTCTTCATATGTATATTTAGTAATTAAATTCTTTTACAAAAATAAAAAATGTAAAAATAGAACATTTTTTTATGTCTCGCATCATGTCTGGAGGGAATTTGTGACCAGCTTACGTCCACAGGGCCCCAACTTTGGCTATGTGACGAGGATGGCTGAGGCCGAAGATGTGAGCAGTCTGGACTCGTTTGGTAATCTGGAGGTCAGCCCTCCCGTCACTGTGAACGGAAAAAAATACCCCCTCGGCAGAATCATCATTGGAGTGGCCTTCCCTACGTGAGTTTGTAACAGATTCACAGATGACCTTCTGACTATGAAAAATTCATGTACGAGCAGCTCTTCGTATGATTAATATATCCAGCTCCGTGTTGGAGAAGCGGCAAAGTAAAAAAGTGCAAGTCATGGAGGATTTGTGCCTGCTCACATCTCTTTCTTTATTTAAGGGCAACTAAAGGGCGAAACATGACGAAAGTTGTTCAAGACTTCTTGTTTGCCCAGAAAGTTCAGGAGCCTGTTGCCTTGTTTTCTGACTGGCTGTGTGTCGGACATGTGGATGAATTCATGACTTTTGTTCCTGCACCTGACAGAAAGGTAAATATCCCCTGAGAAACAACTCAAAACCCACTGAGGTGAAATACAACATAATTAGCTGTTAGTCGTTGATACTGACATGCTGTTGTGTGCATCGTGGGACTGTGTAAGCTTTCAGGAAATGCGGACGCCAGTGTAATCTTTGTCTCTTGTGTGCCTGGTCACAGGGCTTCCGACTGCTGCTGGCAAGCCCAGACGCAGGCTACAAACTGTTCAGAGGCTTACAGAACAATGGACACGGACAGGCCAAACTGTTTGACGGTAGGCCTGTTCTTAGCACAGTTATCTGTGTAAAAATCTGGAAAAGAAATAAAAAAATAAATAAATTCTTATGCTTCCAACCAGGTTTGAAAGATGAAGAACAAATAACAGTGGATGAGATACTTAATGATGAAAGTCTCCAAGGTCAAAATAACTATGTGCAGGTGAGTGTTATCGGAAGGTCCTGGAAGAAAAGATGAAAGTTTAGTCTTTGAAAATCCAAACATTGCAGTTCAAGTCAGCCACACACATGTTTCACACTCATGTCTATGTTTTGGATATCTCATTTCAACTATAGGTATTAATATGCTGCTGTAACAGCCTTCACTCAGTGGTAAAGCTTTCCACCGGAATTAGCAATCTGGCTCCAGAAATTTACTCCCATTCACCCACAACAGCACTAGTGAGGTGTTGGAATATGAGTAAGGCCAGGGAGGATATTTCATCAGAACTAAGGAGTAAATCATGACTACCAGCCACAAGCTGTTTTTCCATTTCCTCGAAACATTTCAGCTGGCACTGTGCCCCTCAGGCAGCAGTGTTCTTCCGGCATCCAGCCAAACTGTGATTTATCAGAAAGCTAGGTAGTAAAGAATGATTCATCGCCTAAGACAATATATTTCCACTGCTCTAGAATTTCCTTGCAGCGTGCTTTACACCTCCCCAGCTGACATTTGGCATCACTGATCTTGGTCCTGTGCGCCCCCAGTTGGCCACTTGTTTTCAAGGTCCTGATTCGCAGCTCTTGTGCTGCTTCCTGAGGCAGCTTCCTCTCTCTCACTACCAATTTCCAGTGAGTGCAGGTAAATGACCCCAGAGCGAAAATCAAAGCGGAAATTGTGCATGACCAAAGAACACTGTGGTAAATTTTGGATGTTTTCAGCACATTAGTTTGAAGAAATGTGTGTATTTCACATGGCATGTTGTCCAGTATGTGGAGTGCATAAAGTGCACTTTACTGCTGCTTCCCAGAGCTGCATCGACTGGAACAGGGACGTACTGAAGAGAGAGCTGGGCCTGGACGATGACGACATCATTGACCTGCCAATCCTCTTCAAGTTGCTACAGGAGAGTGACAGCGACGAGGTCAGAGCAGTAGCTTACTACCCTGACATGGTAAGTTCAGAAACATTACCTACCTTTTATGATATTTCAATCTTTATTTAAAATTTAGGATGCATTAAAGCTTTAATCAGTTGTCAAAAACATGTAGGTGAGATGTAAGTAAGTCTAGACGCTGCTGGCACTGACGTGTCACATCTGTTTCCAGGTGAACATGATTGTCTTGGGGAAAAACCTCGGCATCCCGAAGCCCTTTGGCCCCAGGGTGAATGGACGCTGCGCCCTGGAAGCTGAGATGTGCTCCCTGATGGAGGGCCTGGGCCTCCGGTGCACGTTCATCGACAACTTTGCCTCATACCACAAACTGCTGGGAGAGGTACACTGTGGCTCCAACGTCCGGAGGGAAATGTTTGACTTCAAGTGGTGGAACCTGGAGATGTGAACGAAAACTCAGCAGGAGACAGATTAAAGTTGTGGTCCTTAAGATATCGGTTAACTAAGTGACATACTTTTCTCATTAACAAAAGTTAGGTGACAAGTCCTCTGCCTTTTATGTGAGTGCTTCAAAGTAAAAGCTGCCTCCTATTTCCGCGACTGAACATTGTGGGCGCGTTCCAATACTTGTGCTATCATGCTACATAGTGTGTTTCAATACATAGTACGTCAAATGTAGTATGTTTGGAATACCTGGATTTTCTACTACATTGTTGACATTTTGCTGTATGCAAGCCAACATGCTTCCTTGGTGCAGCTGAAGATACATCAGTGTCACGGGTGAGCATTAACAAACTTGAGCCACCAAGAGCACACAAACAGGCGACAGATCACTTTACACAACAGACGGCCACAGGTATGCGAGCAAGACGGTCAAAGCTTAAGGCGTAACATTAGGACCAAGTGGTATGTCCCAGTTGCAACAGTATGAACTTTGTAAGGGCAGCTGGAGTACATACTGAAAGTAAAAAGACTCTCAGCCTGTGTTTGTGAACATCAGTAGGAAGGCATCACTTTGTATAAGCACCATCCTGATTTAGCTCTGACCCGGTGAAAATAGAGTGCATAGTGATCAATAAGAGTAGATTGCATGCATGCTTAATTTCCCGTGAATCCTTGGTGTCTGTGAAGCAAATTTACTTCCAGATAAGGAATAGTGGCCACTAACACTGAAAACGAAGAAGCAGTAACTGAGATGGCTGTTGGGTAAAACTGGCAAAATGGTACAAAAATTAGACTGAATTTAACGCAGATTTTAGGGATTGTAACTTGTAACAGAAAGGTGGAGATGTAGCTTTCATTTAGTGGTTTCTTTTACAAAACAATTGTACGCAATAGTTTTTGTCAAAGCCTTATGTTATTTCTTTCGCCAATATCATGAAATGTTTAATTTTCTCATCAGTAGTCTTGGAATAAGTGCCTCTGTGTCACCCTGAAACACTACAGTAACAATCAAAAATGACCCCAGGGCTCGATCTACTGTATGCATCTTCCTCTTTATTAAACATTTTTGTTGGCTTCATTTACAAAAAAAAGATGTAAAGCAATATTTACAAACGAGTCTTTTGAACAAGGGCTTAAGCAAACTCTTGACAAGAACAGAAATACAATCATTTGAATCGAGCACATAGAAGATTCGCTCCCCATGTCGTCGTGGTTTGTCGGCCACTGGCATACAGTGCAAGCACAGATAGATGAACGGCACCACATAGTGATGTGCGATAATAATACAGAGCCACAAGAGGGCGGACTTTACCTACTCAAGCATTTCCAAAGTCCAGAGGAAAATGATGTCAAATCATCCTTTTTTGAGAAGTCAATTTAAAAGGCCATAACACACGCGTTAAAATTTCTCTCAGTGCTATTCTATACAATTTGTACGCAGAGAGATTTGTAGCTTGGATATAGGGTGTTTTTCATTTGGTCCAGTGTCTTCAACTTTTTGTACTTTCACAAGCTGTAAATGCTGTCAATAATTCACTACCGACAATAAATGTCTGCTTCAGTCATATCAGTGAAATAAATCGTCCCCATGTGTCAGTCCTTTCCTTCATCACAAACTGAAAACAGAAAAAAGCTTCTGTGTTCAGTAAACATGAGCTGTTTCTCACTCAGGTTTACAATGATCAGGAATCAACACAGAATCCCCAATAACCAGAGCAGATATGTACAAATAAATCCATTTCTGCCCAGTTTTACATTCAAGCCATCCGGCAACTTTAAATATGACCCTCCTTTCAATGCAGCTCACGTGACACAATCGTAAAGGCAACTTCAAGACGAGTCACAGTGTAATTCATTTTCAGCAACGACTCCCGATTCCTCAGAAAAAAAAAGGGTCAACATGTCCTGGAATAACTCTGAAAATGTAGTGCTTAGGTCACGTACATATATTACACTTTACAAATAAAGTAGGAAAAAGGTGACATTTGGCTCTCTATCAGCAAGGTGCACTGCATCTGGAGATGTCGGCTGGTTTTCAATAAAAACACAAATCACAGGGACAACACTTCTATGTCAAGCATGGCACCAGTGTACAGAGGAGGGGAAGTGGGGAGGGGGGGACCATGCACAGTATACACCCGTACACAGACATCAACAAGTGGGGCAACAAAGAGCATTTGGAGACATAAGTCTAAACAGCAGTACCTTTAAATGTGAGGATGCATGTTGCTGGTTGGGGCACTACAGTGACTCTGCTTATTACTAAAATTGTATCAATGAAGTCGACGTTTCTGTTAAAATAGGTCACAGTTTTTACTGCAGCACAAATTTCTGGTGGTGTGGAAATTTTCATAGCCGCCAACAACAGCATCATGAATGTAACCTCGATCAAAACATGACAATTTTTGGTGAAGTTGTTGTAAAACACAAATATTCACTGCAGAATAAGAAGAAAAGAAGAGCAGATCATCAATAAAACACAAAACATGGCCATGACTGACAAAACAGCCACACACACACGCACGCACACACACACACACACACACACACACACACACACACCTGGTACATCAAAGTGAAACCCATGTACAATATCACAGTGGGATGTGAATTTGACATAAAAGAAAAACATTTTACTTCATAGTGCAACTCTTCACAAGCTAAGCAAACACCAGTTGTTTGATCTGCCTCGGTTTCACCCAACACTCTTTCAGTGACAAGATTAAAAGCCCCGTTGGAGTCCTGATCTTTCAAAGAGGATACACAGCACATGAGTTTTTTTTACAGTAAGAGTCGGGTTTTAGAACTTACTGGCCTGAAGAATGAGCGGGCGGGTGGACTGTCCGAAGGTGATGGCCAGAAGAGATGCTGCATGTTTGCGGAAGCCTCTTTTTTTTTCCCTTTGCCTTGAGCACTCAAGGAGGTTTCCACAAGGAGATGGAATGAGGGCAGTAGGTTGGTACATGTCCATGGAGCCAGGTGTCTGTCGTGACAGGTAGCAGATCCATGCCGAACATACAAAGGAAGATCTGTCAGTCTCTTGATCTGGCTTCTAACGGTGCTCCTTTTCTGCATCAGTGGTGGAGTTCACATGCCCCTGGCTTGTTTTTTGGCAAAAGATGCCTCTTACGGGAATGCTGACACGATAGAGGAAGACAGAGGAGACATACATAAAGGAGAAACCGATGAATGCGGCAATAAAATGTGAGAAGAAAATAGAAAATATACAATATAATACAGTCAGTAAGTATATTTTGTCAACATTATGTCTCACCTGAAAATATCCGTTGGTGTAGTGATCAGAGAGTGGCTAACAGTTCTGCATACAGACATGGAGAGATGATAGCATAGTTATTATCACACAACAACAGAAGACCTACAACATACGAGGTGTGTCAGAAAAGTTCCAGGGCTGGTGTCACAAAAGATATATTTCAAACCCAAAGGACAAAAATTAAATGAAACCAAAATACACATGGCCATGCTGGAGAAACCTCCCTGCTCACCCCACCTGGCTCCGTGTCATTTTTTTCCTCTTTCCCAAGCTCAAGGGGGTCATCAAGGGAATCCGTTTTGAAGATGTGGACAACATCAAGATGGCTGTGACGACGGAGCTGTGTTAGACTCCAGGGGGATTAGTTAGAAGAGGAAAACTCGTAGTTTGTAGTTTGGATTTGGAATATATTTTTTGTGACACCAGTCCTGAAACTTTTAATATAACATCAGAATAAGGTTGCAACTATTGATCATTTTGCATTCAACAATCTGTTCTAGCCATGCTGGTGTTGCGGCTCTATATGGGGATCTTAGTCTGTTGCGATGACAGTTTTTAGAGACATTCTCACTATGATGAAATCTTCTGACTTTCTTATTGTCATGATTTCTTGATATCTCGCAATTTGGCCAAAGTTTCACTTATCCTGTGAAATATCTAAACATCTACTGTATGGATAAGCACAATACTTTGCTCAGACATTCTTCTTTCCCAGAAGATGTATCCTCAGTGGCTTCAGTGGTCTTCTGATTGTTACTCTATGCAACATAATCAGTATTTGTGGTTTGCAGTGCAACTATTGGATGGATTGCCATGAAATGTTGCATTCTTGACCCTTTTGCATAATGTAGGGCTGCTTTGGTGATCCCGCAACTATTCATCTAAAGCTATCAACATTTAAATGGTCAATTCATCCGATACTTTGGCTACGACTGAATATGAGAAACACTAATGACATTTCTATCAGCCTCAGCTGTTCCTTGTGCACTTATCAGGGCTGAACAATTAATTGAATTCAAACATCACAAAGTGCAATTAGCAAAACATGAAGGCTGCAATTTAGGAAATACATTATGCAGCAGATCTGACCCAGGGTTTAAACTGTTGTGTCAGTGGTTTTACAAATTCATGCCATCCTCTTCAGGTGACAGTCACATCTTGGATGGTATTTCTTCATGGTGCTTTGAATCTTTAAGATGAATTAAAGCTTGACTTTAAAAAATGTTGTTACAAAACAAATCATATCTGCAATATCTGATTGTTCAGCCCTAGTGCTGTGGTTAGCATGCTGAGCTAAACTGAGGCGGTGAACATAGTACAGATGATTCATGCATGTAACAACAAAATGTTTATCACAACTGATATGAACCAGAAAGTTAACATGCTGACGTTAGCATCTAGCATGAATAGGCATTAGCACCACTGCATTCTTAGTCCTACTGATGCATTGCTCATTCTATAGAATATCAAAAAATAATAAAAACGTCTTGTAAAAATTTCCAGGAACATTTTTATGTTTGGGGGCTGCAAGATGGCTTGGTGGTTAGCACAGTTGCCTCGCAGCAAGAAGGTCACCGGTTCGCGTCCCGGGATCTTTCTGCGTGGAGTTTGCATGTTCTCCCCATGCAGCGTGGGTTCTCTCCGGGTTCTCGGGCTTCCTCCCACACAGTCCAAAAACACATTGAGGTTAATTGGTGATTCTAAATTGTCCGTAGGTGTGAATGTGAGTGTGCTTGGTTGTCTGTCCCTGTGATAGACTGGCGACTGTCCAGGGTGTCCCCTGCCTTCGCCCTGAATCAGCTGGCATAGGTTCCAGCCCCCCCACGACCCTAGTGAGGATTAAGCGGTTTATAGATAATGGATGGATTTTTATGTTTGGGTTTGAAGTTGTCAGTGTATGATCTTTCAACTCAAGGAATGACTTAAACAATTACTCAGAGGAAACATTCATTTTTTACTGACTTTGTGAAACCATTTGTGGTGTCATTTAATGACTTATGCCAAGCAGTTTGTCTCACCGATGAGAACTTGTGCTCCTGCTGGGGGCACTCTGTCTTGGGCCGGCTGTCTGTCCCTTTGGGCTCCGATGTCTTCACTCCATCTGGTTGGTGTTGGAGACGAGGAGCTGCTGGGAGGAAGGGGACAGATGTGTGGCTGTCATGGTTAATAAACTCAAGCATATAATGCTGCCAGCTGTTCTAGCAGAAAAAGGAAAATACTAGCATGCAAATGATTAATGTTTCACAGACAAAACCATTAGTGACAGGAAAAAAAACGACGTGCTGCACAGGAGAAGTGTGGGAGTCGCAGATAAGTCTGAAGTGCTATACATTTTAGGCGGAGTTAACTTTTCTTCACTGAAATAGAGTTTGCTAAGTTACGCAGACTGTGCCTTCGGTTGTTGGCAGTGAACTCCGCTGGTGCAGCTGAGGTGAAGTTCATCATTCAAGGTTGCTCCAATATTAATTGCTCAGGAAGCAGAGAGTGTTATTCTTACATCTGCCCCATCTAGATTTTCCCCAGATAGTGTGGATATCTGAAACAGTCAACCTTTTGGTAAGTTGCCTGCCTCTCACACCTTCAGGCTCTCACTGGCCCAGTAATATGAGGCCTTTTTTCCTAAACTCACCTGGAAAACTTCCTTGGCTGGTACTGCACGCACTGTCCTCCACCCCAGAGCTATAGACAAATGAGTCTTTTTTGATTGGCGTAATACAAGACACACTTTCCTGCAAGAAGAGTAAAGGAAGTGTGAAATATTTCCACTTTTACCAACCAGCGTATGAAAAGACAGACAGATTGTATAATCATAACAGTTCTGTTTCATTCATCAATTTGCATTTGACTTTGTGTTTTTTTTTTTTGCCTCTTTTTAGATGAAAATGGTGGAAGTGAAAGAAATGGATAAACACATTAATATGTATAGCTGTGAAATACATTTTGAGACCTGTCATTACTGGGATGTGGTGAATCCATCAAACCTTCTCTTGTCCTTTGTTTCAGCTGTTTCGGTAACAGCAAACGACGATAAAAAAAACAAAGCGCTTACATTTCCCACTCAGTAAAAGTGAGGGAAATGCTAATGGAACCACAAATATATCAGCAGCGTTGAAAAGCTGCTTGCTTGTTTTGGTTTTTGGGGAAGTGACATTCATGTATGCACCTTCATAATGTGTTATCGCTCAGCCCGACTCCACTCACCAATCCGGTGTCATACTCCTCCTCAGCTTCGTGCTCTTCCACAACGCTGGCGAAGCTGCTGGCATTGGATGAGGAGCGGGAAAGGTCCTGAGCCTCTGGGATGGATGGTGCTCTGCAACACATTGCCAAACTACACACCTGGGTCACTCTGGCCACATAGTCGCATGTGTTTCCTTTGTTTATTTAGGCAGCACAATCAAAGGTTTTTGTATTTAATACTTATTGTAATGTGCCAGTTTCATTTTTCAGAGCCCTTTTTCTTGTTCTCTAAGGCGGCACATTGACAGTGGTGCTTTTGTATTGCAATGTAAAATCGATAATGTTAATTTTGTGGATTGTTGCATTAAATTGGCTGGAGAGGCTCCGAACTATGACTGCAGTCATCCATACAAGAGAGCCACTGTTCCAATTTGCACAAATGCTTCTCATCCCCACCCACGCAAAAGATTGATCACCACAAATACCCCGTCAATGTGTGTGAATGAAATATAGTAAGCAATCAAATAACGAACTAAATAATTGTCACCTGTTCTTAGTGGCAGGAAACTCCGGAGAACTGTGATTGGAGGAGTTGTCTGATTTGTTTTCCTGCGACATATAGCTGGGGTCCGGTATCTTCTGGGTGCTAGGTGACACCTCTCGGCTTCAGGGCAGAGATAGAGATCATGGACTCAAAAAACTGCTTTAATTTGGTATGAGTTTAACAAACTATGTAATTCATGCATTCTTATTATCTAAATCTGTGTTTTTAAGACAGTTAGCCAGTTGTTGACAGTTTGTGCTCATCAAAATGACACACTAATCAACACCTGCACATAAAATGCAGCCTTGGTCAATGTTGCTACAGCGTGGAATCTAAGTGAACTCTAATTTCCCAAAGCACAACAAATAAAAAGGCAGCATTGGTAAGCCCTGCTCTTAATCTAAGCCATCCAACAAGGATTTTGCGTCATGCATAATGAGTCTTCTAATTGCTAAATTCCTCATTTTTATGTCCTTGCTTCCATCTGTTGCCACACTATTTTCTCTCCACTACCCACTCCCCGCTGATCGGCTCTGCTCTACCCTCTCACCTCCTCTCTTGGACCTCCTGGATGTTCTCGATCCCAATGGCACTACTGCGACGGGAGCTGAAGGGCCCAGACTTTTTCCTGGTTGGGCTTTTCCCTGGAATAATTAATGACTGACAGTAGGTAGGAAGAGGAAAGTAAGAACCACACTGTGGGAGAGTATAACAGTCACATCAAACATTATTTACAGTACATGGTCCAGGAAGCTACTGAGGTGAATGGTGTCTACATGTATGAATATGCTGCAAAGGAATTCTCATGGAGGAATGAACTGATGATTATATAGTAATAATAATGTAATGACACATTTGGCAAGATGTTTTACAAAACTGTGATACACTGGACCTTAGGTAAGAGTCCATTTCATAAATTATAATATTTTGCCTGTTGTTTTAAGGGGGTACCAATACTGTATATTCCAAAATATGTAGTAGACACACTTCTCATTTAAGATGTAGTAGGTTTAACCCTATTCAGGACTTTCATGTTGCCATACGTAGAAGGCATAGACTGCAAAAAAGATGGACGTAGCAAGCGGCCCTGAAAAATGAAGCCAACCCGGAAGTGTCAAAAACCTACGTCTGCCAGCTGCTGGCTCCAAAAAGCCCTGGCTCCCATAGACTTGAATTGGAAAAGAAGTGATCACAAATCACGAAATACCACATTCCTACAGCTCAGGATTTTTTTCTTATTAGTTTTTATAGTCAAATTCAGAGATCAGGTGGCCAATCTGAAAATAAATCAATGCTGAATTTTTAAAAATCGTCAAAATTTTGCGGGGCAAGGGGCGTGGCTGGCTTGACTGACAGTTGGCAGTGACGATGCAGACGAAGCGAGCAGAAGGCGGTAAATGTGGGCGGGCAGAGAGGGCCTGCCTCTCAATCCGTCTGACCAATCGCTGCTTCTATGGTTCCGCCCCTACCCTGACGATTTATGCGTCACTGGCTCCAAAAATCCAAGATGTCAACCAGGAAGTAGCAAAACCTTGGCTTCATTTTCTCAGTGCAGAAACCAACGGGTGTCGTCACGGTAGCTACGTCCATCTTTTATACAGTCTATGGTAGAAGGTCTTTTGGGGTCCATTGGACCCCAAGAAAGAATATGTGCAAAATATTTGTTGGTATTCATTATAGACTTTTATACTATGTTAAATACATTTTCTCATAAGTTGACATATTTTTGGTTCCAAATGCATGACAAATGTCCCTCTTTTTACATTTAGAAAAAGAAACTTAAAAAAACAGTACCTGTCACCTAAACCAAATGGCCTGGGGTCCAAAAGGTTAATTAAGGTGTGACTGAATACAAAAACATAACTGGGAGTATGTTTACAATTTAATTTCAGATTTTCCTTTTCTCTTACAGTTTTAAGGAAAAAAGTAAAATCACATAAATGAATGTATGCATGAAGCCCTGGGATTTGGTATTTTAAAGTGCAAAACACGACTGAAAAAAATCCAAAACATTCATCTGTAATTCAATCAACTATTTGTTAGTCATATTTATATTGCAGTAAAAATGTATATGAAGGTAAGTAAGCTATAAGATCTCTCAGTCCATGATGGATAATTCCCTATCAGCCATAATACAGAAATGCATGAGGGTTTGGCTGTATGAATGAATGAAATGATAATAAAAACTAGAACTAAACAAGTTTTGGTATTACACCTACAAATCTGAAAACCTCTCATAGCCACTGGAACTAAAACACATTTTAAACTAAAACGACTAGAAATTGCATACTTACATTATGTAAAGATAATGGCAAAGCAAAGAAAAAAAAATAAACAAGAAGGGAGAATATACATGAACCTCTTCTATTGTTCCTATCCCTATGGCACTGCCTCGACGTCCATATTTACTGGGACTTTTCCCTGGGACAAGCAATGACTGAGCCACACAAGACAGGGCAGGGGAAGCACAGAGAGAGAGAGAGAGAGAGAGAGAGGGAGAGAGAGAGAGAGACAGAGAGAGAGAGAGAGACAGAGAGAGAGAGAGAGAGGGGGTATGATAGATTAAAACAGCAAGAAGGGGAAGGAAAAGAAAAGAACACATCATAAGATATCATGCGCACAGCACAAAGAATTTAAACAGCAAGGTGCAAAACAGCTTAAAAAGGAGCTCACGGCAGGACTTAGCGGAGAAGACATGATATTGAGGATACAGTGAAAGTTTTATCGAGCAAAAGCAGGCTGGGGTCCAACATAGGAGGGCACAGCAGGTGATAGAGTGTCACCATGGTAGCAGGCATGCCGGCAGTTTTTGCCCTGAAGGATACACGTCTGTTTAGTGATGCATTCAGAAGAAGAAAAAGGGCAAGGAGAGCATACACAATCCAAAGGAGTAGCTTTTAGAAAACTTGGTCCTTTCAGAAATGGGGTGAATTCAGTTTCAATTTAAAATATTGCTCGCAACAAAATTCCAAAGACTGCAATAAATTCCAAAGAGGCTGAAAGATAATTAACCCTATCTTTGAAAGGGACACAAACAGGACAGAGAACTCCTTGCGTTTGCGGCTTTTGCCATGCATGTTCGTCAGCCACACATGCACGAGGCTGTGTAAAGAGGTTAGAGCATTTACAGGAGGAAACGGTCATGACAGAGCACAGCAAGGAGGGAGGGAGTCTGGGTAGTCATACAGCTGCTAGTCTAGGCTCACTTCAACACTCGGGATAGAGACTAGACTGGGGCTCACAAACGATCAATCATCCTGTATTGATAGGGAAATCATTGGATTCATTCCACAATGGACATTCTTTTTTCATCATCACCCTAGAAGTCTGCCACTCTTTTTGAAAGATGAGAAATAATGACATGCTGAGAATGAGTTTTACTGATAATTTTCCAAACAAACAAAAAAAAAAACCCAACACACAACAACAAAAAAGTCATTAGCAGGAACACTATGAGCCGTAAATGGAAAAAGGCAATCAGTGAAAGCTGCTTTAGTACAAAGCAAGAGTGACTTTAAAATGTCAGGAATGAAAGGGAGTGTTTAGTGTTAACATACTGATGAAAGTAAAGTGCTACAAGGTGCCAACAGGACTCATTTGCTAAAGTGCTGTTTACGATAGCAGTTAAAGGAGTTTGTTGTGTGTGTTTATCAACTGTGAAGCGCATAGACTACATCCTGAATGGAAGTGTTAGGTAGGCATGTGTGAACCAAAATGGGCTACTTACAATCCCTGGGGTTTTGGGGCTCTCTGCGGGATTGTGGGTAAAGCTGCCACTGTGACTAGTGGAGACTGTGTGTGACTTCTTGTTACTGAGGCCCATGGCGTCCATAGACTGGCTTCTGCTGCGGATGACCCGCTACAGAGAGAAACGAGGAGATACTGTCAGTGGATCCACTTCGATTTTATGTGGAAACGGAACACACTGACCAATATTCCAAGGCATTACATACCGCAAATAAATGTGAATCTAGACTCAAATCAAATCCAAAGTAGGTTATATATATTCTTATTCACATATACTTTTGTGATTGCATATAGTATAATTTATGTTTTATTTTGGTAGAAATAGCCATATTCCATACAGTGACTGTCAGGTCTATCCATTGTGATGTGCTAATATGCAGATATTGTAGAATAAATGCAATGAAACTGAGGGAATAGATGCATTTACATCATGTGTATTTATTTGTGTGTGCACTTTATATGAATGTGTGTAAATGTGCTAATGGTTTGTATGCAGGGTGAATTTTGAACACTGAGGGGCAGTGCAGGTCAACGGGCAGGAGGAAGACGCTGTTGGAAAGACTTCCAGGTTCACTGAAGGTCAAAGAGCGCATTGGCTTTGCACATCTCCTCCTATCTAATCGTCATTTAACACGTGTGAGTGTGGAGCCAGGTTTTGTGTCATGAGACACAACATGAGCAAGGACGACGACGACAATGGCAGAAAGTAAGAGAGACAGCAGGATAGTAGAATCTACACAGAGGCAGAGAGAGTAAATGAGAGTGGCAAATCATTGCAGCAGTAATTTGTGAAGGTGTGAAAGTGAAGCAAGTTGGCTCTTGATAGAGAGAAAGAAAACAGGATCCCTTTTATGCAAGAGCATATTTATGCAGAGGTAGTTTATGATGGTATGGAAGAAAGATGGATCTTAAAAAACAGCAGAGTCAGAGAGACTGAGAGCAAGGTGGTTGTTTTTCTCTGAAACTGCAGAGAAATACAGAAAAGATGGCCAAGAACTCGCGATCAACACAGAGGGAAGAGAAAAACTGCAAAGGAATGCTGCCCATGGGGAGACGTGCAAACTGCATCATCAGTTCCCTAATGAGGGGTCATTAAATTGTTCATCAGGCACACACCATCACAGTTCCTACTGCTGTGCTTCAGCCATACCGGCTGAGCTCTGCTCCAACACCCTAATGGTCATTGATGGAGCACTCTCAGTCAGAGCAAAGTGCCTTTCATACACAACAGGACACTCCACCGTCTCAAAGCCGCACCATCATGTGAAAACACATCGAGTTCAGCAGTCGCAGCCAAGTGAGGAAAGCAAATGCCACAGGACTGGTCCTTTGAGATACTGCAAATTTTCTATGCTTTGTTTTCTCATGTGTGAATACCCAGAATCCCAGCCAAGAGACAGGGGAGGCGGAAGAAAAAGCATCCTAAAAGTTCTCCACTCATCACCATTCCCTCTCATGCATGTGGAGTTGCAAATTACTAGTGCACCTCATCGAGTGAGGAATGATGCTGTACCTTAAAGGACTCGAAGAAGCCTCCTCCTCCTCCTCCGCCCCCGTTCTCCAGCTTATCTTCGTCTCCCCCCAGACCCATCATGGACTGGCTGTTGATGTGCAGCTCCTCATACAGCGTTTCCAACAGAGCTGAACGTGTGCGCTCCTGACAACAACAACAGCCAGTTTGCATATTTACTCAAATTTATTCTGAAATCTAAAACTTAAATGTATTTATTTTTTCAAATTAAGGGATATAGAGAAAAATACTAAAAATCAAATCAGCACGATAAACTGGAGCTTATACATGTTGTTGCTGTTGTCTGAGAAAGGTGAGAGGACAATAAATCTACAGTAAGTCGTTGTTTTCTATAAAGAGCACAGCAAGTTGGATATAGACCTATGCACACACACACACACACACACACACACACACACACGCTTTTATGGCACATGCGTCAAAGTGCTGCTCACCTCCAGCTTGGCAAACTTCTCAGCCTTGTAGCAGGCATACTCTGCATTGATGAGCTTGGTGAAGAGGAACTCATGGAAATCGGGGCCCTGAGAACGGCAAACACAGACAAGGTAAGGCAGAGTGAGTGAAGGTTTGTGACGTCTGCATGTAAAGGGGGAACTGACTTCATGTATCTGTGTGGCTGCTGACCTTTTTGAAGATGGCAGGGTCTGGTAGAGCAGGTCCAAAGAAAGGTACATCATCCCTTGCTGTCACTGACACCTGGAAGAGAAGGCAGGTAAACAATGAGAAAATGGTAAAAAGTCTAAATCATGAAAGAAACTGAAATGGCTTTGTGTTTTACAGTGTTCTCATCCTTGGAAACCAACCTTGTAGGTGACGTTGTCCGTACACGCGTTCTCCACCTGCACCACCACATACGCGTGCAGGAAGTTGGATTGAATCATGTCTGGTACAAAGGGCGTGTTCTCCTCCTGGAACACGATGGCTACGATGTCGTTGCCTATGTGCCTCTTCCTCTGCAGCTGGAAGACAAACATAAACAAAACTAACAACAGGGGAAACATCTCAAATAACCACCTCGTGTATTAGGAAACACAGGCCTGTCACAGAATCACTTCCAGAACTGAAAGACTGACTGAAAAAATAAATATATTCCCAGCAGAGGGGTGGGCACGACTTAAGAGTATAGTCTCTTCTCTGAGATGCGTGACAAATCAGTTTTACTAACAGCCAAAAACATTAAATCCTTACATTTTGTAGCTCTGGTGCCACTGATTTAAAACAGAGGAAATCTACATTTGTATTATTTATTGCAAACAAATGAAATAAATACACAAAACAGTGCAACTGCAAGGTATATGATAAGGTAAGATAATCCTTTATTAACCCCACAGTGGGGAACTTTGCAGCAAAGGGGATCGTGCTGTATAGTTGACTCCTTTCGAATGCAGAAAATCATACTGCACTAAGTTATTCTATATAGAGAAAACGATTCCATCATGAGTAGAATACACAGCATTTATGAATGTATAAACTATGTATTATACATAAGTCCACTTTACAGATTTTTCAGTGTAGCTATGACTATTTTTGAATGATTTACTTTAAGTGCTGGTGTTATGGAAATGAATGAATCTGAATCTCAGTGGAGGCGCTGCAAAGCCAAACAAAAAAAATGGTTTATGACTCTACAGATGGCTGCCTGTGATCATCGCTGCTGAATAACTGCAATTTCCTTGTTGCCAAAAAGCTTAAAGTTGCCAAAAGGACACTCGAGCACTTGGAGGACAGAGCGACTGTGCTCAAGTATTAAATTTTTAACCAAGCAATATCTTTTAAAAAAGGCTTGGTGTTGCCAAGCATTAGGGACACCTTTTTCTTGTGCTGAAATATGAATATATGTTGTCACCTCATTGCCTTTTGCTAGGAACTCTAATTTTGACAGCTCACAAGCCCTCATAAATATCTCAGAAGGTAAGACTTTTTTTCCCCTTCCTTGTGAAAATAAATCAAACAAAAAATGTGACATAATACATTTACATAAGATTTTGCAGTAGTTGGGGCACATTGCTTGCTTTGAGACATGATGCTGTCCCAGATTTTTTATTTTTTATTTTTTTTAAGCAATCAAACAGTAAGATAATCTAAGATGCTAGTGGATATCAGCGTGTCAAAATATATTCAGTTCTGCCCACCAAAATGGCAATGGATTCCTATCGCAGAGGCTGTATGACCCAAATCATACGGCTGCATTTAAGGGGAGGCAAAGGCATAATATCAGATTTTGCAAACAGATTCAGTTTGGCAACAAAGAGAAAAGATAATTCAAAAATGTTTCTTAATGCAGGCAGTTTTGGTAAATATAAACCCAGTTGCATTGAAAAACCCTCGACATTATACATTTGCTCTGCAGCAGCATGTACTGGTCACCCTGCGTCACTCGCATTATATTTAACGGACTAAAGTTGACAACACACCTTTTAATACAAGCTGTATTGGTGATGCTCCTAAAAAAATGTCTCATGAGATAGGTAGTTGTGTGCGCAGTACAATACAGCAAATATTTACTCTGGGATTTAGAGGCGACGATGGCATTTGCTTTTCCAGAAGCAGATATATCACGAGTCCCTGTCTGTTAAAGCCAGTCTGTTTGTTCGCACGAGAACAATCAACCATCTGTTTTTCAGCCTCGGAAAGTTTTCACAGTCTGCTGATGCTGTAACAGTTGTAAATATGGCAGAAATGTTGCATAAACAAACTATTTCACGGTAAACGGAGAGTCCAGTTCGCCAAATCCAAATCCAAATGTGCAAATGTCTGAGAAGTTCATCCAACATCAAAAATGCTCTAAATTAGTCTTGCAATTGTGGCTTATCTGATTGAAGTACTTATCAACACAGAGTTTAATTGCAAAATGAGGCAATTTTAGAGAAATCGGGGAACTGTGTATACAAGTCAAGTCCTTTGTGATTGTCATAATTCTGTAGAGTTTTGATAAAATTAATGACAACATTAATTACGTCCTTGTAAAAAAGTAAAAAACAATTGCATTTCAAGGGCAGTAATGAAAGGTGAGTGAGGAGAGCGAGACAGGGTACATGTGGCAGCAGATGCAGGACAGTCAGGATACTACTGCATCGTCCCTGAGCTTATTAGCTGTCAGTGTTAATATTTATGCACACAGGGGCTTTCTGAACCCAGATGGCTCAGTAACATTGATCGTACTTATTCCGTGCAGATGAACTGCTAAACTAGACATAAACAAACCTAGCAAGTGCATCGCTGGATTAGGACATTTTACTGCCATAAAACCTTTCAAAATGGATCACATTCAGTCAGATCTGGCAACATAAATTCTGTGCATAAATACACATATATTCTTCTTCCTAAAATAAAGCCATGATCTTATGGTACACCTTGCCTCCTTTTCTTAAGTTGCCTGTTGACTCATCCCATGTGGGTGCTGCTTATGCCCTGTGTTTGTCTCCATGCCTCAGCGATATGGACCGTCTGTACCGGGTTACTGTGGTAACAAAGTTCAAACCACTCTAAGAGGCAGTGAAGAGCAGCTGAGGACTTATGCAGCTTAGTGCAACATGGCATCAAAAGAGATGAAAGTCCTCAGCCGCAAACAGAGGAGAAACTTCAATGCCACGAGAGAACATTGCAACCTCTGTGGAAATGGTAAACCTCAAGAAGAGATATTTCTAAAAAATGGCAACGTGAGGACAACAAACCTGCAAACACCTAAATGAATGTCATCTGCTTAGCAAATCACTGCACACAAATGTCTGTAAAGCTTTCACAGAGCAAAAGCTTTCAGAGGATAACTTTAGGGTATTTCTCTATTTAGTCAGAGTTTAGTGAAAGTTCAGTATTTAGAAAAATACGCATGTCTGTTTTCTTGAGTTAGATATAAGGATTGATACAACTCTCTCTGTGCTGTAAAATATGGCGCCATCAGCAGACAGTTAGCATAGCTTAGCATACAGACAAACTATTTAGAATGAACAAATAAAATGTTAATTAATGAGCTCTAAAAGTGTTGGTAGGCTAATTTTATTACGTTTGGAAAGAGTCAGGTAAGCTGTTTACCTCTATGTCAAATGCCTTTAAGGTCATTGCACAACAACTGTTTACAGTGAAAACAGAGTATTTTAAATAATAGAATATTAAGGATAAGAATCCTGCAAAGAATCTATTTACAGAGAATAAAACAATAAAATAATAAAAAATAATAACATAGTAGAAAATAAGCTAATCTCATGATGGCTATAGCAACATAGCATTTACCAAACATAAGAGCAGTTAATCTTCTCATCCATATTCAAAAAGAGAACAAATAAGTGCATATCCCAAAATGCCAAAAAAAGTAGTTTAACTGCAGATGTTAGTTTTTGTCATAATCAGGGCAACGACTGATCCAAATGATGTAACCAACTTTATCAACATTGACCTAAAAGACCTAAAGTTAGATTTTACAGGCTCTGACTCATTAACCTTTACTGCCACAGACATACTGAGGAGTCACAAGTGGAGGAGTTAATGAAAACACAAATTAGTAACTCAAGATGATGATTCCTTTGAACGTCACTTTACCTGCTGCGAATCTCCTTCCGTGTAAGGCAGTTTGGTGGACACATGAAACATAATCTCCTTATTATGGAAATTTGTGTAGATGGATTCTGTCCCCGTCTGCCCATGAGTGACATCGAGCCCACCTCGAAAACTGGACAAGAACAGAAGCAGAAGCAGAAACAGGAAATTTAAAGGCAGAAGCAATAAAAATAAGAGAGGAGGGACAGGAGAAGAAAGATTAAGAAGAAAAGGCAAGGAGAGGATTGGGGTGAACAGCTGAGATAGAGAAGACAGAAAAGAGATCAACAAAGTGATGGTAGTGGAATACAGGTGTGTGCTCCCGGAGCAGCCGGTCCATCCACGCTCATTCATCATTGAGGGAATGCCAAGGGCACTTCTCTGCCTGCTCAATCACAATGTCAAGAACACTACAAATATCAGAACATTCTGACTCGCTTTTCCAGGGATTCGTTTGAAGCCAAGTCTGATCAATAGCAAAGTAAACGATGGCCAGCATCTAACAGACATTAAGGAGAGAGCCATACTGAGAATTAACCAAAAGTGCTGAAATGAATCCGCTGAGAAAACGAAAAGAAATTGAATTGAAAAGCGTCCAAACCCTTTAAAGTCATGAAGCTCAATCTTCCGGCCCAGAAACTCCAAGAATTCAACAAAGGCAGGACTTTCTTCCATGTTCCCAAAGAGCTCCTCCTCTGATGTCTGCAAGGAGGAAGCAAATAGCACTTTCAGGAGGAGAGGAATATGACTTCAAACACAAAGATTAGCAGCAGTACCTCTGAGAGCACTCACTTGGCCAAACTTTTGATAAATAACTCCGAACTTGAAGTTGTTGCTGATTACATGCTCATCGAAGGTGACGATGAGCCTTGATGCCTTGAGAACAGAAGGTTTCCACTCAGGTTAATGGTGTTATTAAGTATGTGGACGGCAAAAGAGAGAGTGACCATGAGGATCAAGGCCTACCTTTGGGTAGAGAACAGGGTAAAACCTATCCACATTTACTTCTTCACAGACAAGCTAAAAAAGAAAAAGTACTTTTAGCTTCATAGATTTTAAATGTATCATGAAATATATATATATATTTTAAAACCAAAATATTCAGCATGATACTAAGTGCCTACCTTGGCCATCTGAACCACATTGGGGAACTCAGTAAGGCAGGAAATGGGAATCACGTCATGATGGGTTTTTAGCTTTGTCCTAAAAAGCAAACAGTGTGAAAAGTCAAAATGCATACTGCTCCATTTCTAATCCAAAGCAATCCTCCTGGTTTGATGGTTCCTTTCTTTGTTGCTTAGCATTAATGGAAGTGAACTGCAAAATCAAAGGGAGCCCTTCCTATACAGGCTGTGTGGATGGTTTGAGCCGAGATTGCCTGGAAGAGGGTTGAATGGGCATCATTACTTTTTTAAGGGGGTCACTGCTCCATCCACGGAGTACAATAAACAGTACTGCGAAAACTAAAAAGTAATCTGTGTCCAGACAATCTGGCCGATAATTTGGTAGCTCCTTCTCTGTTAGAGAACAGTACTAGGACACTTCAAGCAACAATTTGACATTTTGGAAAATGTGCTATTTTTCTGACTTTACCATCGATGAGAAGACTGATACCACTTTTATATCTGAGCAAAAAATATGAGACTGGAGGCAGCTGGCTAACTTAGCTTAGCATAAAAAAGCTGGCTCTATCTGAGAGTAACAAAATCCACCTTCCAGCAACTCTAAAGCTAATTAACACAACAAATAGGACTTAGGAATTTGCAAACCCCTCCCTCCAACAGCAGTTTTCCAATTGCAGCTTTGCAAGCGGAACTAAATAAGTCGCTAAGCCTGCCTGCTTTAGATTTCTCCACATGCTGAAGCGGTGTGCACTGAGCTGTAGTCGCAGAGATACTCTATATTTTACGACTTTGTAGGAAAGCATCTTTTAGCTGTTTTATTTTTTTTATTTTTGCCCTTTTAAAACCAGAAGCATAAGACTTAAAGATTTGGTAATGGGTTGAAATATGTGTTTTAATGTAAGAGAGCTTTTTAGCATGTTCAGGGGGCTACATTGCTTCACAGTCGTGATTGAGCAGGCTTCCAAGGCCACGAGCACTAATGTTGGTACTAATTACATTAGATTGTGATGCTAGCCAAAGGATGTGAATACATATACATACAGACCAAATCACAACTGACCCCTTAAATGAACTCATTAAGAATTTCTTGTAGTTAATCTGCCACTATAACTACTCTAAACTGCATTAATAGTCATATGGTACATGACTGAAAGCTGGATGCAGAAACAGTAAGGATGTGGGATGTGGTTTAACAGCTCTAATTCTCTGTTTTTACAGTGTACAGGGTATTGACGGTAAAAAAATAAAAAAAAAAAGAGGAAGAAAGAAAAAATGATAATATTTTGACCCATTCTGTTGCCATACAGGTGTTTTAAATATGACTGTGTGTCCGTGCTTGTGATTACACTCACTGAGGTGCCTGGGCTGACTGTGGGTAGAGCCCACCCACTGGAAAACATCACTATGTTAAAAACGTCGTGGGCCGAGTGGCTGTTACCTCGCTGCACACTCATCCACTCTGGAGCTCCATTAACAAGGAGAACGCAGGAGTGGAGTCTCTCGGGTGCTAAAATTAATTCGCAGTTTATGTGGTGTGTGTTGCGTTCTACCTTTCTCCCCCTCGTCTGTCTTTAACAGCATGTGAAGAAGTGGAGGATCTCAGCAAGTAAGCATGGTTTGGCATTACGCTTGTACAACATGGATGAATAGAGCGATGATTGTTGAGGACTTTTCAGTTCTTTTTAAAGTCGCCATTTATACAGAGAGGCCATACAAATACTTTTATTTAGAATCGCATTATTACACAATACCTAGCAGGAAAATGACTCACGCAAATCTCTGCTGTACTCCATTTTCATGTGTTTTGTTGTGTTCTAGGGACACAAAAGTAGCCATCCATCCATCCATTATCTATACACCGCTTAATCCTCATTAGGGTCGCGGGGGGCTGGAGCCTATCCCAGCCGACTTAGGGCGAAGGCAGGGGACACCCTGGACAGGTCGCCAGTCCATCACAGGGCTACACTTAGAGACAGACAACCAAGCACACTCACATTCACACCTACGGACAATTTAGAATCACCAATTAACCTCAACATGTTTTTGGACTGTGTGGGAGGAAACCGGAGAACCCAGAGAGAACCCACACTGCACGGGGAGAACATGCAAACTCCACGCAGAAAGATCCCAGGTGTCCTCACCGGCGACATTCTTGCTGCAAGGCAACAGTGCTACCAACTGCCTTGCAGCCCGTTATTTAATATTAGAAACAATATTATTTAGGATTAAAAGACCTTCCTGTAACTGAGACAAAGATCTGCAGGCATTCAAAAGTTTAAGGTCCTTTGCCAATGGCTTAAAAACTGCCAGACTGTGTAAAATAGGATATATCTTAATTGAAAACAAAACTGATGAGAATCCATCCGACAGGAGAGACAAAGCTCTCCGCAGCACTGTGTGTTACAGGAAAATATATTTGAAAATTCATCACTGAGGCAACCTGTGAAAACTGAGAGTTCTCGTCTTCCTCTGTGACATTTTTGCTTCACTTAATGCTATTGTTGAGGGGAAAAAAAAACCTTATTCAATCTGGGGCACACAATCAAGCCATGTGTGAAAATACTCAATTGAATAGCTCTGTTTGGAGGACCTACAGTATGTGCAGATGGAGAGGAAAAAAATCAATGAATTGCATGGATACTGAAAGCCAGGGTTGTTGCATGTTCAGCAGAGGGAGAAAAAAGAAAGAGAAATAAAGATGAGACAACATGGAATAAAGGCAAAGAAAAATTGCAAAAGGTATTGCAAAGAAGAGAGCTGTGGTTTAGGGGGAACAGGCAAGAGAAAGAAAAATCATAAATGAGAGCGGATGCAAGTTGGAGATAAAGATAATAAGAAACTGTACCGAAGCATCAAGCGCAGATGCTCTTGATCCCCAATGACATCATACTTCATTGAAAAGACCAAGTGGCCCAGGGCAGCATCCATGGTGTAGTAATTAAAGTGTTCCTGCGGGTAGATAAGCAGAGGAAAGTTTAATGTGAGCATGAACACTACTCCAGCAACTCACAGTGGGTGACACAATAATGAAAATGCTGTAATAAATCGCAGATGATCAGAGGTAAAAAGAGTAACAGTCTTCTAATTTAGGAGAGTGGTTGAACTGCCCTTGTGAAAAAGGTGTAAAGGCAGAATGTACCATGTTTTACAAAATCTTACTCTGAATGGATACGGGATATAACTGAATATGCTGTATTAAAGGTAGGCAATTAATACAGCATAATCTGGCGGCTGTTATTTTAATTGCTTTGTGTGGTATTCACACTCGTTTGCATTATATCGCTTTGTGAAAGAATACTGACAATGTTGTCACACTATTGACAAAGTTTTGCAGCTGTTCCATGTCTTTGCAAAGCCTGCCCATATGTTGCTCCGAGTGCCTGAAAAATTCTCACACACAAACATACACACACACACACAAACTCTGATTTTCTTCTTTGCTTTCATTGCCCCTTGACAGAATCTTAAATTTTTATCGTTCTAAACACAAATGAGCTACGGTCTAACAAATGGGAAACCAACATTTTCAGTAGAAGTTTTACTTGTTTGGTCCCATTTTTAGAAGCAAATGTTGTTTTATAGCAAGATAAATCACCAACATCAGTCAAGTAGATTTAGAAAAATGGAAATAGGTGGCCTTTCCCCCAAAACACTGGTGATGAATGGATGAATAAACCAGAATCGATTCTGTTTTTTAGTACACTAAAACCAGCCCATTTCCCCTTCCTCACCTTGCCCATGAAATTCTTCCTGTAGATCTTTGCAGTGCTGTTCGTCTCCAGTTTGATGTGGGAGGTGGGACAGGGAGGTTGATCGGCCTCTGGTGGGTCTTTTGGTTCATGATTGGTCCCCTCGATCCAGTAGCCTCCAAATTGGGGCAGTAGGATGAGTGGAAACGGACTGGTGCGACCCAGAACCTGGCAGCGATGGAAAATAATAACATTTATGAAGAGTATCGATTAGTAAATAATAGTCAGAATGTGGTAACAAGCACTGCACTGCTTTCACTGCTTCAGAAAGTGCACGCTCCTCAACTTTTTTAAAAAACCTTTTCAAACCTTTAGCATTACAGTTTCTGACATTTACAAAATATTTGTGTGTGAGTTATTCGTTTGAGGGTATGTTGTATGTACCTCATGAACGCTGGGATAAGGGATGTAGTCTTCTTCTGTCTGTAGGGAGACAAACAAATATGAGTCAAGTTGACAAACAGCCGCTTGTAGTCATACTTTCACTTTTGGTTACTTGAGGGAAATAACAATGAGCAGAGACATTGTGACAGAATATTAACTACACTAGCATCCAGTTCTATTACTTTTGTTGTCCTGCAAACATGACAGAGGCCACACTATCAGCCTTTTTCACTAATGCATTAAAGTCCTCTTGAGAGAATGTATATCCATTTTTTTTTGTTTTATACTCCTTTATTCACTCCTGCATTGATTATAACTATTGACAAGCCAATTAAAGTTGGCAGAGATTTGGCAAAAGTGTATATGTTTTATAGTCTCCAGTGACTGGGTGCTAAAAGCTCTCAGTATGGTTGTTAGAAAGGGATACTTCTTTCACCTAAAAAAAGAAAGTGACATTCAACGGCCTGTGTAAGAGAAGCTTACTTTCAGTTAGTGGTTACTGATGCGTCACATGACAAAAATGACTTCTCCTGATAATTGTTTCTATTTACTGTGGCAATAACCTGTGATGTTTGCTGCACTCCAGAAACAATGGTGCTGTGCTGCAATTCACTTCTAGACATATTTTCTCCTTTTCTTTAGAATGCTCTTCCACAGTCCCAGTAGACCACGGTCAGGCTTGTTCCATTAAAAGTTACTGGCTTTATGTTGCAGAAGTGACGGCAAAAATATTTTTTGGACATTTCACTATGTGACAGTTGAAGTGCCTGTCCCTAACAGAAAATAAAAACTTATGACATGGGATTATTGGCAGGTGTAGCTACCACGGAGGTTAAGAGTCACTATGGGAAATGTAATGTATACATGAAATTTCATGGGAATCCACCCATTCACTGAGTAACTGACATTTCTATCCATACATCCAAAGTGTGGCTAAAAATGCTGTGTCTAGACAGAAGTTGCTCATTGTAGCAAAATCAAACCAAAAACCTGATGGGTTTATTATGTTTAGGACAGCTAAAAAAGCCATTTGCCACTGTAGCTTTAATACATTTTTGACATTTGTTCAAGTATTCACATAGAATCACGCAACAACACTGACTTAGATGTGGACTATGGCACATTTCTGTCCACATACCTGTGTATACATCAGGTAGGGGGTTCCAGTTTTAATGGCATAAGGAAAGCCCACTAGCAGTATTTAAGGAGACGCTAACTGTTACAAGATTAAAGAATATTTTATTTTCTGAGTTTGGCATTGAAGAACTTTGCTGTTGGCCCCATAACCCTGATCTCAACTCAAGCCAACATCTGAGATGAAATGTAGCGCTGGCTGAGAGGCAGGCCTCACTGCCCACCATCAGTGCTCTACCTCACTGATTCACTGATTGACTAAAACAAATCCTTAAACTAGCTTCATACATTTAGTGAAATGCCTGCCCTGCCTAAAGGAAGGGTGGCTGGTCCAGCAGCATATTGATGCCAACTGTTTGGATTGAAATATCCAACAACTAGACAAAAAGGTGTACTGTTGTTTATCCGCTATAGTGACCATATAATGTACATCTTAGAGAGCGAATTTATTTGTCATTATAAATGCCAATAGGACTGTAGAATTCTCTTTTTCCACATCACATTATACAGGTTTGAGTTAAGCCAAAACCTCACCAAGTTACTTTTTTTATGTCCTTTTTGACCTGACCTCAGACTTCGTGATGCGACTATCTCCCAGTCTTCAACAGTTAATGCATTAGACTGTCTAGGTAATGGGACAACAGAGGATTTTGCAGTCCTCATGCCTGTCGAGCTCCTAACTCAGTCGGCGAGCATCCTAAAGCCTGTCTGACAGCTGATAAGGAAAGGTTTATAACTCTGCCATTACGGATGCTTTACCAGACTGTGCTCTGTGAGGAGATGTGTGGATTTGCGACTCACTTTGAGGGGGGGAGGAAGGGGGCACCTTTGCTCATCCATTCTGCAACCCTGTAGAGAGAGGGAGGCAAAATGACAAGGTACTGATGACACAGGTGAAATTGCTACACAACTGGCTTTACACGTGCACAAAGCTACACAAAAAGCACACAGACTCAGAAGGTTGTTGATTAGAGATCAGTGAAACATCTTGTGCAGCACTGCAGTGCAAAGATAATTCTTTATCACAATAGTTCTTGTTTACATAAAGCAAGGTCGGTCGCCAGATGAGGAAGTGAAAGTAAAGAAAAGAGGAGTGATATCTCAGAGACTGTAGTGGGTATAGAAGATCAGCAGAGGTCTGTGAGAGCAGAGATGATGTTTCCAACAAGCTGTACTGCAGATATCTTTAACCACCATTCTACTTGAGGGCCATAAAGTGCCAAAATAGAACTTTCTATCAAATCTATCTGTTTTTATTCTGCTGACTCATAACTACTGACAGTTCCAGCAGCACAGAGGAAGATGAGTAACAAAGCTATGCTGATCAGTGGCCCCTTTGTGTTATATGCCCTGCGGCAAGATTTGAATTGTATCAAATTTGATGCACATTTTTAGACCTAAGAAAGATAAATCAAATGGAAATTGGAAGTGCTTTCTTAAAATTCTTTCTCTGAAGACTGCTCCGCAGCTTCTTGATTTTCCTTCACCCCCCATCATTCTCCTTCTCTGCTTTGTGGAGACTATATATTACTACTAATAAAATATGCTACTGTTGTCTACAATTCAAACATGTTACTGCCACGTTGTTGAAGTGATTAACAACCAATGTAAATACAATAAATAAGGCTGTCATAAGTTTATTGGGAGAGGCTTCACAAATTATGTTGAAGTGAATGCAATCGTAATGTGTATCTTCACACCAACACATTATACCTTTAATGCCTGTGATTCTTCTTGGTTCCATCACTACAGCATCATAAAGATGCCATTGTTTGACTCTCATTCTGTGCTTTTGATTAAGATATGATCATAGTAGTCAAGTTTCCTGTGGTTCAGTACTGTTAAGGTGATGCACCAATGCTGAAGCTAAAAGTTCTGTTTCCAATAGTCTTGGACCACTAAGGAAGAAAATAGTAAGAAAAATCCCCCTTCTGCCACTATAGAGACTACAATTTTACAATCAAACAAAATAAAGAAAAAAAAAAAGAACTATTATGATTCAGTTCAAAGGGAAATGTTTGGATGCCAATAATGTCAGAGACACTTGAACATCAAAGCACCTGTTTAAACCGTGCTGATCTTTTCTATCAGATAACTCAGAAGCTACTGTTCTTCCTTATGGTTTGTGTGCTTTGGTACTACATCAATGACTACAAAACAACCTCAATCCCTACAAATCCACCAAATCATAATATCGCGCACAACTGATGATGCAGACAAAAGTATCTAGCTGTGAGGAGAAGATGCAGAGGCCCTATTTAGCACATTAAGTAGAATACGTTTTCTGAAGATGGCCTGAGGCTGTTACTGCTGCAAATACCAAAATACATGTTAATGGCAAATACATGGATACATGGACATTTTTAAAAAAGTGTTGTAGTAGCTGGCTCGCAGGGCTGAATACAAAAATAGCAGGAAAAGCAGAAAAACTGGACTTTTGAAATAGAAGTAAATGGAAATTGTGTGTCCAAAGTGAGAGAAATTCTGAGGATTCTGATTGATTAAAGCCTGTGAGTGAGCATGAACAAGTATAAGCAGTGACAAAAAGCCGAGCCAGGAGACCACTTACAGTACCTGTATCCTCTCGATCATAGCAAACAGGTCCGAGGTCTGAGGGAGAGAGTTGACAGAGATCCAAAAAGGGACATGGGTTTCATTTTCTGTGTGGCAGTGTTGATACGATTTCCCTGCACTGTCTTCTCATCTGTAAAGACGCTGGCTGTGCATTCTCAAGACTTCCTGTTGGAATCTCTCTTACCCGTTAATTCCGTATTTCATGATGACGGCACTCCTTTACGCAACCCCCACCCCCCTTGACACCAATCTCTGTTCAACGCCAGGAGAATTGCTCCTCCAAGCTTTACGACAAACACGCTGTAAACAAGTAACTCTGAGGGGGAAATGAGCCTCGCAGCTCCATGGTGCTTCTCTCTGTTGCTAAAGCCAACAGCTCATCTAACTGTGGGCAATGCCAAATTAGCTAGGAGACACTGTGGTTATGGTGCACATATTTACTGTACAATATTGTAGAAATGAGAAACACATCACTCTACAACCTTTTAGGAAAAAGGCAAATAAACTGATACAGACAGTCTGGCAAATAGGTTTCATATGTAAATATGGCATAAACTTAATGTTTTGCAGTCAACTTGTGTCCAGTTACTAAAACCACTACCTCAGCCATGCACTTTTACAGAGCATAATTCAGTATTTTGTCCAATTATTAAGGCACTCGTCGAGGTTAAAGTAGAAGAAAATACCCTTAGGCATGCAACTTTCATCTGCACAGGCCACATTACGAATTTTACGCAGCTCCAACCTGAGATAAAGGAGGAGAGAATCACAGCGGCCTTGACAGCAGCGCTTGTTGCGGGGTGAGCCCTCTGTTCACCATGTAACACAAGCGGACTGAAGTGCCAAGCTGATGTTTCCACATGACAGCTTAAATTTACTGAGGGGCACTGCAGGGCTTGCAAAACACATATGCAGCACACACAAAAAACACAGGAAAGTGTAAACGCTCACGCATATACACATTTCCAGGCGCACTGAAACACATTTGTAAACTCATACATAAGCATGCCGCGCTCATAAATGCACACTCACAGTAAATGCACACGCATCTGACCCTGACCCAGTAAAGCCAAAGGTGCAGCCTAAGTCCATTGTTGCATGTAAAAATAAACAGTGCCATATGATATTCAAGGAGATCCTGCTCTCTTGACTACAAAACAAACACCAACAAACATTGTCCTCTGCTGACCAGATTATCAGTGAACCAGAGAAAAGATGCAATTCACTCCTGGATCGTGGAGGCACTCTGTTAGTAGCAAAACATGAACCTGTGTAGTTACAAGCCCTAATAAAAACAGCTGCATGAAAGAACTTACAGATTCTGTTTTGCATGGTATCTGATATGGAAAAAAACAAAGAAAAAGTACACACTGTAAGTAGTTCCTCTCAGGACACAAATGCAATATGTGGTTAAAAACCGATCAGTGGAGCATTTGATCTGTTTTTGCAGTGAACAAAAACCCATTATCTACTGTTCTACAGCCCCAAACATACAGTATGTGTTTCTGTCTCGAAGTTACCTTAAAAATGAAACAAGCAACAACAACAACTAGCGTGAAAAGGATGTCTAACCTCCATCAAAAGAAAAAAATACTCACATCACTGAAACATCGTCTCTTGAGATATGGTTTACTGGGGGGACTATTGAGAAGTCCATCCAGTAAGGCATTCTTAGCTATCCTGAGCTCAGCCATCATCCCACAAGTACAGATGCAGGCAAGCTGACAGGAGCGAGGGGGTTGATGTCGCTGTCAGCCACAAGGAGAAAGGCGAGACTGACAATGACACTTTGCACTCACTGTCGCTCAGACAGCAAACTCGAAGAGAAAACTTGATAGCTGTCCATCAGAATCCATACATCTATGTGTGAGGTAAAAGTGTGTGCTGTAATGTGAGAATATCATTTCCCTTCCTTCCTCTTTTCACATAACCCCCCTGCCCCTCCCTCCACACCACCACCCTCCCTGTGACACACACAGCTGTTCTGTAGGAAGTAGGACGAAGGGAGGAACAATGTTGCTCCCCTCCCTGTGTGCTCTCTGCGACGATCTTCTCTTTTTTTTTAATGCAAACTCACACTTGCATGTGGACGCAAAGAAGAAGAAAATAAAAAAAACCGTGGCGTTGTCTTACTGTTATATCACAATGTGAGACTATATTCTTCCTCTTTTATTTTAGCTTGAATTTCTCAAGTTTTCCTCTCTGAAACACTTCTGCTCGGAAAACAGGTCTGTAGGCAATACTTTCACATGTACGATAATTACAGACAAGCTGAAAAAATCCACCTGTTACGACTTATATTTATTTTTAGTTTTACAGTTCAGAAGTAGGTTAATTATACCTGAAGTGCTGTTACAGATCGAAAGTGCTGTTTATGAGCCATTCATCTTACGCTTCTGTTCCTTTACAAGCACTCGCAAACTTTTAAACTCTTTCGAAATGAGATAACTTTTTGACAAGAAATACTTTACACCATAAACAAAAGGCAAAAGCTAAGAATTCAGTAGTGCATGTTGGAGATCAGGTACTTTTCACTTTATTGTGTCCCGGTGAAGAAAACAACAATGCGAGAGCTCCAAGCATTCCTACAGGGGAGACACATGAGACAAGCCCAGTTCCCTGCATGTGTCGATGCCAAAGCCTACTGGTAGACTTAACCAGCCGAGGCACTTCTGAAAATCATCTGTGCGTAGTTAAGCATGACATGAAAGCACAACAGATAGTGTGAGACAGAGAGGGAAAGGAGCGATAAAAAAAAAAAAAAAAGACAAGGGAAGCCCTTTGGGAGGAAATGCGGACTGTTCTGTGAAAGCAAAACCTTTTCTTTGCAGGTCTTTCAATCAGGCACTCTTCCAACATGAGATATCCACATTGACCTACTTCTAAGAAAAAAGCAAAAAGCAGCTGAACGCTTTTAAAAGGACTGCTTCCACCCATATATGTTGAAGGCTTTTTATTTTGAGAAAGAAGATAAACACAACTTGCGGTCTGCATTGATTTCCCTTGAGGAAAATTGATGGGATCGCACTCATGGACAAGAGGTTACATGGCTTGAATAAAAACAGCACAAAATATGGATTTTATACGGACAGAGGCAACTTTCAGTAGCGTGATCCTGCACTAGAATGAACCCGCCATTAAGACACCGTCTCATCCTGAGGTTACATTTCATTACTGGTATTGTGGTTACTCACGTCTAGACTGGCTTTAGCTGAATGCCAAACTGGGATTTGAGAACATTCACAGATGAAAACTGAATACTAATTACATACTTGCAGAATAATCAAGCTTCATTGTTACATGATGGCAAATGTGTGGGAGATATTAATTACGATTCAGATTCACAATATGAGCACTTACATTGTCTCAGTTGTAAGGGATGCTGATTGCGATGCTGTACTGGTGAGTGCAACATTTCAGCTTAAGCTGTTGGGAAAGTCAGCTCACAGTTGTACAATCCTGCCTGATTTTGGTGCTTATAGTATAACGTTATGATCTAATGGAACAGTATAAAAAATTCATCCTTTAAGTCTGCTCACGTTTCGTCTCCCGCCCTTAAAGACGATACAAAGCCGCTGCGGTGAACGCACTATTACTGTTTGTATGCCTGAGGGGCACATCTCGTCTTCTCTGAGTTGATTAATGTGCAATTGAAGTATTTTCGTGTGCCAAAGAATGAGAGATCCGAGTGCATGAGTGAGAGATCCAATGGCTGACTGATCAACTGATTCATTGATTGACTGACCTGGTCAAATCACTGAGTAGGTCAAAATACAGTATGTGCATGAATACAAATGGGGGGCATTAATATCCACAACTCACACAGTCCACACCTGTCTCCTCCATCTGCAAGCAGAGGAGTAAAACTCTGACTCCAACACTTCATTAACTCCTCCCGAACAGAGGTCCATTTGAATTTCCACTAACAAATTGCCAATGATATGGATTGAAAGCAATATCCCCATGCCTACTCACTCCTCATCTCTCCATTTATGCTCCGTGGGTTAGTCACATCCTCAAAGGAAAACGCCTGAGTAAAATGGAAAGCTAAACTTCAAAGAGAGAGAGAATCAATGGGCATAGATGCCTAGCATTTCAGTCAGAGAAAATCCATTGTGGTCCATTCATCAGGTCTGGTTGCAGAGACTAGCCTGACCTTGCCGTGGCCACTCTGGCCCTGGGGGGACACGAATGAGGTTCACACAGATGACCCCCGCCACACCATCAACACATCAGACGAGCTGGTTGGCTGCCACAGAGGTAAAGGTCTACAAAACTGCAGATGAGCGCTCAGTTTGATACTGTCTTTGCTGCACTATAAAGAAAAGAACAATCAGTTTAGTCAAAGAGGCCCTGTAATGCTTCCTATAATGGAACAACTCCTGCAATTTGATTAACATCTGCTGGGAATTTGTACGTGCATTCCATTATTATTAATAAGTGCTTTATCAAAGACTTAAGAAAGCTAAAACCTTGAACTTGAAGCACAAGTCTGTTGAATCCATTAGTATCCCTTGAAATACTGCTGAACCTGACATACTAAGCAGGTTAATTAAATAATTAAAAGAGTACTTCGCCTATGTGACTTTGCGGCTCTATAACACTATTGGACTGGAAAAACAGAGGCCCAGAGGCATAATTTTCATTTCCTTATTAAAACCTACAGCCTGCGTGAGCCATAATGCAACTCAGCTGCACAATCTAAGAGAATTGGGAGTGTTGTGCTTGTAGCAGCTGATGCAGCCTCAATCAGAGATGAAAAACAGGCTACAAAGGTGTACTAAAGCTCATTTCTTTTTAACTCATTTTAAGACTTGGGTGATCAGTGCCCAATGCATAGTGAAATTAAATGACATTAAGAGCAATTTATACAACTTTTTTTCCCCACATATGCAGTACCATTCTGCAAGGCCTGCAGCCACACTTTGATGTGTAAAATCAGAGAAGTTTGCTTTGCAGTTTTTTTTTCAATTCCTACCATCACAAAAAATCTAATTTGATTCCTGTTTTAAACTTCAGTTATTATTATTTTATTTACTTCGCAAATAGATAAATCTTTCTCAGTTTAGTGTTTTAATCGTACACTTTTAAGTTGTTGCGTCAGAATTTCGTTTTGAATAAAAACTTAAAAAGACTTCTGTCTTTTGCACTTGTGGTTGGACCATGAGTTTCCTGGGGAGTAGCCTGCACACAAGGACCCAGTTGCACAACCACAACATGCACAGTGTGCTGCAGACAACATATTGTACACACACTGTATGCACACAGAATAGATGCCGGGGTGTGAAGGGGAGAAGCACAGGTATTTATAGATCATTACTCAATGTTTAAATGTGAACAACGGTAACATTATATTGATCTATAGCTTCAGTTTGTGAGTAATGTTCTCATACATCTCCCTGCTCTCCTAAAGTAGGCTAACTGATAAATTATTGCATGGTCATATGTGCTACATGTTCGTGGCTAGCTGTATACTCCTCTGGGTACTAACCACAGAAACACAGAAATGGAAAATTAGAATACCAAGTCATTTCTAATTTTTGTTCAAAAATTGAATTCTAAACCAAAACACAAACAATTAAAAAAATGAAGCCAAGAGACAATCATTCTTTTGTGAAGTAATCAGAATAAAAAAAGTTTAATTATTTATTTTAATGGTGTGAATCAAACAAAGAACTGCAAAGCTTCACATGCACCCAACAATGTTAAAACCTGCAGCTCATCAGCTCTGATCTCATCTCTGTAACACATTAACAAAAACAAAGGAGCTTGGCCTGCAGATAGTAAACCTGCAGATAGTAAATTATAAAAGACACATGCAGCTTCTCTGTAGCGTCGTCTGTATACAAAGGTTACACTGCAACTTAGAGGCAAACATTAGTATGAGTATGCATCAAATTGAAAGACCATTGTACCACCAATTAAATATTAAATTCAGTTAAATATACTTTATCTGAAGTTCTTTCTGTATTTCTCTGGTCAGAGCTTTGCTATGTGAATTTGTCTTTATTACTTAAATCAGCTTTGTTCTACTCAAAAACACTTGGCTTAATTACTTCAAAAGCATTTAACTTGAACCACTAATACTTTCTACAGAATAAGAACTACAAAGCAGTGCCATTTCTGATTAAATTCATGGTTTTAAGCCTATTACCCTGTATGTGTAAAACCTATTACCCTATATGTATATGGACTGTTAAGATAACCACTTCCTTTCACTACACACACACAAATCCATGTTGACACTTGCAACACAAAGCTTGCTAGAAATCACTTTGCTTTCCATATAACTTGTAGCATCCTAAAGTAATTAGGTCAACAAAATACTCATACAATGTTTCCTCTAGGATTTTTTTCAGCAACGGGGGCAGGCTCTCGGGGAGTCGTGGCGACGTAAACAAATGACACTTGACTGCAGATTTTACTTTTATAACCTATATCTTGAATGGCCGGTTGGAAATAGCATTTTAAAGGCTGAATGTAAAAATAAATAAATAAATAAAACAATACAATTAAATAAATAAAAATAAAAACAATAAATAATAATTTCTTGATGGGGCTGTAGAATCAGTGGCAAAGTTTGCACCCAGGCTCAGAACAATTAATTTTTCTGTTTTTTTTCTTATTTATAAAAGAGCTCCAAGGCTCTGTTGTAGGGAAATCCTCTGAGAGGCTCAGGAGCATACAGGCTGCAAGCTGATCCTCCTGCAGCCTGATTCTCAAGTCAGTTGTCACTTACAAATAGAAACAATAATGAGATTGTTTCTCTCAATTTCCTACACCCTAATCATTTTAAAATAGTTTCTAGTTCGTGTCTGATGATATATTATTAAACGTCTCACCCTATTCATCGCTGAAAAATCCCTCTCACAGTTTTTTCAACCCATTTAGGGTCCCAGCCTGATAGC